ACCGAAAACAGAAGAAGAAATTAAGGAAGAAGAAGAAGAAGAAATCTTGATAAAAGCAGAAGAAGAAGAAATCGAAACAGAAAAAAAAAGCGCCATAAGACTTCTCATAGGATTTGCATTTGCTGTAAAACATTATCTGCGTGAAGAGGATGGAAGCAGATGCAAAGATGTTAAACCTTTTATTTCGGGCATAAAGTCATCTTTACCAGGATTTATAAATTTGAAGGAACAAGATGCGGCTGAAAAAAACGAAGTTCAGAAGAAGAAAGACCGGGTGTGCTGGCTGTTCAAAATTTACGAAAGGCCGAATTCACCTATTAATCACAATCTTCCCTTAGAAATTTCTTTATATATTTCTGATTATATTTCAACTCAAATTCTGAAAGAGAGGATTAGTGCCCCAATAAGCAATAATTTGTTAACAAATGTTAATACGTTGATAGAATGTTTGTCGTGTTTTGAAAGAATTTTGAGATCACCGATTCCTTTGGCATATTCCATTCATTTAACCCAAACGGTATGGATTTATTGTCTCTCCTTACCTTTCCAAATGGTTAGTCAAGTTGGCTGGTCAACTATTATTATTGTATTTGTTGCTACTTTTATTTTGCTTGGTATCGAAAGAATTGCTGCAGAGATTGAAAATCCTTTTGGTTATGACCCAAATGACTTAAAATTGGGCGATTTTTGCAGGTAATTAGCTATTAAATAATTGTTAATTATATTATATTTTAGTCTCATTATGTCTTACTCGATTTTATTCATAGAATTATCGAACGAGAACTCAAAATCATCATAAGTCATCCTCCACCGGACATTGATCATTGGGTGTTCGACAAAAAAAATATTGATGAACTCCAGAAAAGAGACTCGTATATTGATTCCCATGTAAAATCTGAGAATGAAACTGCTATTGAAATTGATAAAGTTGATGATAAAATTGACAAAGTTTCTAGATAAAACATTTGCATTTGACTCACCGGAGATGAGTTTATAATACTTTGATTAAATTTATAAATTCACAATGCGCATGCATTCACTTTGTTTATTCTACGAATGTCCTGTAAACCATGGAACAATAAAACTTCATACTATTTTGTTTTTGTTAGTACTGTATTTAGTATGTAATTCGCCACTTCGTCGAAAGTTTAAAAAATTTGTTGCATTTCATCCGGACTATAGATATTTCGTACTGTACGTTATCTCAAGATGTACTGTACTGTACTCGCATTTAGCTATATTATATAT